GCTTGATTCTCCTTTGTATTTATCTTCTTCAACAAAATCTACTTTCATCAATCAAGTCCTGAACAAAGCGGTATCTCACATAAATATGCTTGAAACGAGAACGATAAACTGGATTTGTGGCAAAAAAATATTGCACTATATTGTCACATAACACTGTCAGAAACTCCTGATCAACTCCTAAGTCATCTAATAGGCCCAATATCCATATTGTTTCTTGCATCGCCTCCATGACTATCATGTACTTAGTCTTTGTAGTAGACAAATCAACGGTAGACTAAAGAACTGACATCCAACTGACCGGACCTCCTGCCAATGTGAATAAATAACTAGTTATAGATCTTTGTCTATCCATATCACCTGCATAGTCCGAGCCAGTGTAGCCTACACACAAATCTGAACTGGATGACTGCCTCTCAAACACCAAGCCAACATCAACCTCTCAAACACCAAGCCAACATCAACTATGCCTTTCAGTTACTTCAGAATACTTTTCACAGTCTGCTAATGACTCCTTCCTAAATCATGCATGAACATGTTCACAACACCAATTATGTGTGCAATGTTTGATCTTGTACAGACCATGACAGACATCATATTGTCCACTGTACTAGCATAAGAAACCGAACGCATAAATTTCCTCCCTTGATTATCTTTAGGACACTCATCTGAACACAACTGAAAGTGGGATACAATGGATAGACTCACTGCCTTGCTTGAGTCATCAACTCCAAATTTTTTAGCACCTTCCAAACATAAGCTCCTTGCAAGAGCTAAACCTTTCTAGGTGCTTTATCCCTGAGAATCTCCATGCCAAGAATTCTGTGAACTTCACCGAAATCCTTCATTCCAAAATGTTTGGACAGTTGATATTTTATCTTATTAACATCAATCTGATTGACAGATGCAATCAAAATATAGAAGTAAATGAACTCACTATTGCTAACTTTTTTAAATATGCACAATAATCATATTGGTTTCTCGTTTACTCATGTCCCCTCATGAACTAATCAATTTTTTATACTACTGTCGAGGTGATGCTTCAACCCAAACAAAGACTTGTCCAGTTTGCAAACCAAGTCAACACTTCATCATGATCAATCCCTTATCGCTGCGTAAAACCTTCGTCACTGATCTTGTCTTGTACCACACATCAACTCTATGAGATCCTTCTTTCCATACACTCATTTGCACCAAATGGCTTTCCTTCCTGAATGAAGCTTCACTAATCTCCAAATACCATTCTTTCGAAGAGACTCCATCTCTTCATCCATTGTCGCTCTCCAAAGACCACAATCTGGGCTCTCCACTACTTTTTTATAGTGACAAGCAATTTTTGACTCTATGGCTAAAAGTGCAAATGCAATGTGATCCCTTAACCAACCTGGTTTTAGGATATTATGGCGCATGGTCCTGCTCGTAGTAATAGATTCCTGAGCAAGAATTTCATCCTCAATATCTTCTTCCACCTTCTCCTGAGCACTATCAACAAATATCTTATGAGCAGCAACTGAATCAAATATCAGATTCGGAGTAGACAAACTCTGTGAAACAAATGGAGTTGCATCAAACTTTAACTTCTGTTGCATATCTATGGTCCTAGTAAAACTCTTAATCTACTTTGAGACTTGAATTTTCAATAAGTTTGTCTCCTCGAATGTAACATCTCTGCTAATGACAACCTTGATTTCTGATTGATCATATAGCTTGAATCCATTGATTCCAAACCTGAAGCCAATAAAGATCGTCTTTTTTTCTCATGCTTCCAGTTTATCATTTTGCACATGGTAGTAAGATGGACACCCAAATACTCTCATGTGCTCATAATCTATAGCAGGATGCCCCGACCACATCTCTTTTTCTTCCCAATAGTTGCAATAGGTAGACGGTTTACCAAGTGGCATGCATATTTTATGGCCCCGGCCCAATAGATTCTATCCAGCCCAAAAATGGATAACATATACCGAACTTTCTCCCCTAAAGTCTGATTCATCCTCTCTGTCTTCCCGTTTTGTTGTGGTGTTCCTTGAACAGTGAAGTGGTGATTTATCTCAGGTCTCCGGCACCCTTGCAAGAACACATCTTAAGTGTATTCACCCCCATTATCTGATCTGATATATCCGATCTTTTTACCAATCTGAGTCTCAATCCACTTCTTCCAAGTTATGAAAATCTCCAGCACTTTGTTTTTGCGCTCCATAATGTATACCCAAACATACCTTGTGTAATTATTAATAAAAGAGAAAGTATCTTCGTCTGTTGAATGATGTTTTCTTCATTGGGCCCCAAACATTTGTATGAACATATTCTAAAATACATTTGGTACTATGGATAACAGCACCAAAAGTAACTCGCATCTTCTTGTCAAAAACACAATGTTCACAGAAATCAAACTTGCAGGTGCTCGCTCATTTGATCAATCATTTCTTCACCAAAGCCTAAAGTAAAGTTTCTCCAACATGAGCTAGCCGCATATGCCACAACATAGTGGTGTTAGAAGAATTATCAACAATAGTCATTCCAGTCATTGTACTTCCCTGAAGATTGTAAAGATTGTGACGATAAACTTCCTTTATAAAAAATATTGCTCCAAGTCATCCTTAGAATACCCCAGATGCAACTTTCTTTCTCTTCTCCTTCAACTTCGAACAATCTTGCTTCCAATGAACAGTCTCTAAACAATAAGCATTGATTATTCTTAAGACTGCGTCTACGAGACTTTCCCCACTTATGAAAAGTGTTGCTACTGTCATATTCCTTTGTCAAATTCTTCCTTTATTACCATATCTGTCTCGCTAGAGTATAAGTATCTCAGCTAATTTCATCTTTTCAGACTCCTTGTACCTTCGACGGAACACATGATTCAACAGTGTCGTAGTCAATTCGCCATAATTCAAAACCTTTTTCTCATGAATGAGTGTCATTGTGAAGTTTTCGTACTCAGTTAAGAGCAAATTCAACAAAAGAAGCGTTTTGTCTTCATTTCTAACTTCATCATCCAAATTTAACAGATCTGCTAACAGCTTTGTAAAGTCATTCAAGTACTCATCAACAGTATCCCCCTGTCTCATTTGAAATCTATAGAGTTGACGCTTTATATAGAGACGGTTCTCCACATTCTTCGTGAGATATTTGTACTCCAACATGCTCCATAATTTTCTTGTGGAAGTTTCCATCATCATCCCATGTTTAATTTCCTGGGCCAAGCAATTTCGGATCAAGTCATAAGCACTTCTATTCATTTTTAACTAATCTCCTTACATCTCTTCAGGACATTCCTCGCTATCCAGAACATCCTCCAGATTCTGAGAACACAGCGCATCCATCACCTCGCATCGCCACATGCTAAAGTTTCATTTGTCGTCAATTTTAATCACATTGATTTTTTACGGACTGTGTGACCACTTGATGAATCGACTTTTTCCACCACCATAGTGGACGTTAAAGAATCTGATATCGTACTATTACTCCCACTATTGAAATCTCTTTCCAAAAAAAAAAATCTCTAGCAGAATACCTGGGAAAAGATAAATAAAACCAAAAAAAATTTCCTGAAAAAAATAAATTTCAACTGAAATTCCTCTTTTTTTCTTTGTTTTTTTCTTTATTTAAAAATTACTTTTTTATCTTGTTGAGCAAAAAAATTCCTTTTTAAAACTTGAAGGATTCGACGAAAATCCAAGCTTTCATGTTTAAAGAAAAATTTCCTTCACGCGACTGTTGGCGTCAATTTTTTATTAAATGTATAGGTTATCCACTTGAATGGATCGTGACAATGTACTATTCATTCATAATATCTCGTAGCTCAAGACATCCATCAAAACCCCCTAGTGGTTTACGATGATTTATCCTGACCCGAGAGAATCCATTGTTGGGTGGCATCATACATGACGTGATTGATGTTCATTCATGTGTTTAGAGACCATGACATTCATATGAAGTCTCCTATGGTCAAAGGAACCCGTCAAAACCTCCTGTAGGCGTTTTCTAAAAGAATATGGTTTAGAATGTCTTACCCGTGTTGTGCTCCAGGGCAATCGCTGACAACAAATTCCTTGATGAACGATCGATAAAAATATTCATTTCTAGAGTAATGAGACCATATTTCATTCATATTGGTTTGCCTGGGCACCCAAAATCACCCTCCGGTGCCTCCAAACCAAGGCTTTGGAAAGCGCCAACTTATTAGGGTCTAGGCGCCAGTCCTGAACGCTTAGCTCCCAAAACACCCCTCGAAGCGCCCAAACAGAGAGCACTACAAGTAGGTGTCAGCATGTTGGCGCCTAGGCGCCCAGATTGCCTTAAAGTAACATTTTCCGAGCTCAGAGAAATTAGGCACCAACCCCAGCACCTAGGAGCCAGGCACCAAGCGTCAGGCCTGGCGCTTAGGCACCTGGACCATGACTCCTAAGTACCAAGCCATTTTTTGCCCCTATTTCTCTGCCGTGATTTTCACGATTTTGACCACGGCACCCGCCCTAGGTAGCCAAAAAGTGGGATTTCATGGGATTATGTAAAGATTTGCTTTTGGGGGAGACAAAGTGAGTATTAAACCCCTTTCGGAAGCTTCTTAGATGAGAATGCATACCATTTTTAGGTAAAAAAATAAATTTTGGGCTAGTTGGCTTATCTCCCTAGGGCTCCTCCAAAAGCACATTTTTGGAGAGCTTGGAGGTTGGTCATCTTCGTCCTAGAGAGATAGCCTGGAGCTCCTTCCTCCTTCGTGAAAAAAACTTGGTTTTCCTTGATGTGATAGCTCTAAAGAAATAGAATTAAGAGGGTTTACTTCCTACAACCTTCTTTGTCTTCTTCCTTTTTTTTCTTCATCTTCTTCCTCTTCCTCCGCCACTCCAATACTCTCAACACTGATACCCTCAATTTGATGGTTGCTTTCTCTTTATTTAATACACTACACTCTCAGCTTGATCTAGAGTAATCTCTCAGATATGATCCTACGGTCCATATCAAGCTCAAAGAGCACAAAAAAAAAGGAACGCTATACAGCTAAACTAACCAAATTATTTCATAACCAGTATATAATCCAATACAAAACTTTGAATAACTAGTATATAATTTCGAAGGTGTATAAGATTAATATACATATAAAACCAATAAAATAGAACAAACTTTGCAATATATTTCACATAGCATACCACAAAAAGCTGATTAGGCGCTGAAGGTGGCAATGTCGTCCATCTCTTCCTGCAAGAGAAGGGCGTCTACGAAAACATCTAAGCTCTCACCTTCCATGACATCCTCAATAGCATGGTGAGTGATCCCAACTCGGTGATCTGTGACTCGTCCCTGGGGGAAATTATATGTTCGAATCCGCTCCGATCGATCGCCACTTCCAATCTGTTCGAAGGGCAGAATGGAAAACATTTTAGCCCATGACAGTGCGACAAGAAGCTCACGAGGAAAAATCAGGCACTCGCCTGCTCCGAGCGAAGCTTCGAACGGTTCATGTGAAGTCTGGACCTTTCAATTTCATAGAGTCTGGCTCTTAGTACTTTGAGTGCTTTAGCCTTATTCTATGACAAGAGATAAGATTATGTATAAGTAAATAGTTGAGGAGTTATGAAATAAGTACTTATTTAAGGATCATAAAAACCCAAATTTGGCAATGAAGTCTGAAGAAAATGAAAATTTTGCGGAATGCCATCATAAAAAGCCAAAATTTGCCATGAAGTCTGAAAGAAAATAAAAATTTTGCTGAATACCATCATAAAAACCCAGATTTTGCTATTAATTCTGAAAAAAAAAAAGAAAAGTTTTGCTGAATACCATGTGTTGTGACCTTTCATCTTGTATTGCCACGGCGATTCCAGTTGGAATATGAGTGATTCGAACAGCACTGTTTGTCGTGTTTACAGACTGGCCACCGCTTCCGCCGGATCTGTATGTATCGACCCTCAGATCCTCATTACGTAGCTGCACGTCAACCTGCAGAATCACCATTGAGAATGTCTATGGCATACTTGGAAAGCATGACTATCTTAATGTAAGAGATGATAGAGAAGGTGAGGACAGAATGGAAAAAGAGAAGAAAGGATAGATGAAATGAAAATTTTATCAGCTTCTAGAAAATCAAGGCTTCCAGAATAAGGAAACTTGAAAAGAATCCATATGAAGCATAAGCAAGTTATAATATGGTGTAACAACAACAACAACAACAACAACAATAACAAAGCCCTAATTCCACTATGTGGGGTCGGCTACATGAATCTTTTTTCTCCATTGCATCCTATTTAGTGTCATATTTTCATTTAGTTCTAATAAATTAATATCATTTTTAAACAGTAAGCCCAAGTCTTCCTAGTCTACCTCTGCCTTTCTTAACATAAGTCGAATCTAAAACAACTACTCTCCTAATCAGATCATCAGATGGTCGACGTTTAATGCGCCAAACCATCTAAGACGACTCTCTCCAATTTTATCTGTCATTGGAACTACACCAACCCCTATCACGGATATAATCATTTCACAATTTGTCTCTAAGTGTAAAGCCACTCATTCACCTAATCATTCTCATTTTGGCAACACTTAACTTAATATTATGCTTCTCTTTTAAAGGCCAACATTCAGCGTCATAGAGCATTGCAGGTCTCACCAGCATCTTATAAAATTTTCCTTTCAGTCTGAGCGGCACTTTTCTATCACACAAAAGGCTTGACGCATTCCCCCACTTCAACCAACCAACTTGAATTCTGATATTAACATCCCCATCTATATCACCATCGCTTTGAACAATAGACCCGAGATATATAAATCGTTCACACCTTCTAATAATTTGATCGCCCACATTGTCACTAGAGCTACTACTACTAAAATTGCATTCCATGTATTCAGTTTTAGTTCTACTCAAATGAAGGCCTTTAGACTCCAATGTAAAAAATCCATAATTCAAGTTTTTCCTGGGCCTTTTCTCTCGTCTTATCCGCGAGAAGGATATATTCAGCAAAAAGCATACACCAAGGTACATCCTCCTGTAAATGTTCAGTAAAACCATCCATAACTAAAGCAAAATGATATGGGCTTAAAGCTGATCCCTGATGTAATCCAGATGTAATAGGAAAATATTTGGTCAATCCTCCTTCATTTCGAACACAAGTAACAACTCTAGTATACATATCTTTAATGACTCTAGTATACATTATACATATCTTTAATGACTTGAATATAAGTCATACAACACATTTCTTCTCAACAACTCTCCAAAGGATATCTCTTGGAACCTTATCGTATGTTTTTTTCTAAATCAATAAAAAAGAAATGTAGATCCTCCTTATCATCTCTGAGCTTCTCCATCAAACCTCTCAATAAATGTATAGCTTCCATAGTAGACCTGCCCGGCATAAATCCAAATTGATTATGGGAAATCTTCGTAATACGTGTTAACCTATGTTTAATTACCCTCTCCAAAAATTTTAAAATATGACACATCAACTTAATTCCTCTATAATTTGCACACTCTTGAGCATCCTCTTTATTCTTAATAATGAGGACCAAAATACTCTTCCTCCACTCCTCAGGCATCTTTTAGTTTTTAAAATAATGTTAAAGAGTTTAGTAAGCCAAGAAACTCTCAAATCTCCTAAATATTTTCACAGTTCAATTGGGATATCATTAGCTCCTACAGACTTTCCACCCTTGGTTTTCTTTAAAGCCTCCTCAACTTCTTTTTACTAATGCGACGGTAAAAATGAAACGTTTTTTTTTATTATACACAATATTAAGACCACTAAGGTCGATATTTCATTAAAAAATTTATCAAAATAACTTACCCACCTATGTTGATATCTTTTTTTAAGAAAAATATTTTTTTTTTCTACGAAAAGCTCTTTTTTTCATCTTTAAAACGCTTTACTTGAGTTAAATCTTTACTTTTCTTTTCTCTTTGTCTGGCTAGTTTATACATATATTATCTGGCTAGTTTATACATATATTATACTTTTTTCTCTTTATTTTTCACTCTTCTTAGTATCTAATTTGTTATAAAGATCATTAAAAACAGAATTTTTAGCGTCACAGATTGTTCTTTTAAATTCTCTGTGAGTCGTTTGATATTTTTGCTACTTCTCTAAGATTTTACATTTAAACTAACTTCTATAACACAAATTCTTATATTTTATCTTTTCTTGCACATTATTATTCCACCACCAACTATTTTTATTTGTAAATTTTTTTTTCTTTTGATTCTCCAAATATATCTTTTGCTACTTGTTTGTTACTTTATCCCACATAACATTTGCTTCTTCATGAACAACCCAAATTTTGAAATCTTGAATTTTACTCATAAACATAATTTTATTTGTGAATTTAGGTTCCCCCATCTAATCCTACGATGATGAGTTCTAGTATTCTTTATTTTACAACTCTTTATCTTAGAATCTAGAACTAATAGTCGATGTTGGGTACTTAAATTCTCACTTGGAATAACTTTACAACTTTACAATCTCGACGATCTCTCCGACGATCTCTTCTTCTCATAATTCTTCTCATAAGAAAATAATCAATTTGTGTTTTATTAGATTCATTCTTATAAGTAATAAGATGCTTATCCCTTTTTTTGAATAAAGTAATAGTAATAACAAAATCATATGCTAAAGCAAAATTTAAAATGACTCTGCCTACTTCAATGGTCACTTCAAAACCGTAGCCACCATGAATATTTCTGAAATTTTCTACCACTCTACTGGCATGTCTATTTAAATCTCCTATAATAAAAATTCTTTCTTCAAAAGGTATCATTTGTATTAAGTCTTCTAAATCATTTCAAAATTTATCTTTAGACCCTATATCTAAACCTACTTGAGGAACATAAGCACTTATAATATTAAAAATCTTAATATCAATAATAATCTTAAGGGCTATAATTCTATCTCCAACTCTGTTAATTTTTACAACATTATTTTTCAAACTCTTCTAAGTTATACTATGGTGTAAGAAAAAAATATATGGATAATTTGGCTATTAATATTTTCAAGAACAGCTGGTTAATCACGCACGTTTTTACAAATATTTGCTTTCATAAAAGCCTGTGGTGCATCTCGTTTTGTGAATGTAAAATGCAATTCAAAATAAACACACTACCAAACCAACCTTTTTTGTATCAAGCAGAGTCAAACAGCACTTGACAAGTAAAATGGTTTTTTATTCCATTCTATAATGAAACAGCACATGTCAATCCAATAATTTGGTGGAATTGCTGCAGTAAGACTTTTTCTAAAAAGTACTCGGCAAGATTTTTGTAAATAATATTTTTGTAAACATTAAAACAATAAAACATCCCCTTTTTTAGCCTCCAAGGTAATACAGCAAGGATTTAATTGCAAATTTTTTTAACTTTGCTACAGAGAGTATGTTTTATTCGATAAGCACTGCGTAAAAATTTAGCTGTAATCTTTTCAACAAATCCGAAAAAAAAACTAAGAAAGTGAGTGTAGCTTAGACCAAGCAGAAAAAACAAAACAAGCTTACGACTTTTCACAAACATGCAATAAAACACAAAACGTAAATTTACACGGGGAGAAGTGAAGACTAATGGTCAATTTGTTCAAATTTTAACACATTGCCCAGAAGCGTTTGTATTAGAACTCTGAAATAGAGTTCAAGTGTTTGCTCCATTGAAAACAAATAAAAATGAGCTCTACTTATTTTGGAACAAATCCATCATAATGATGAGACGTAGAATTCGTTTATAAGGCCTTGAAAGTCGCATTTTGATTTTAATTTTATGTAAGATGGTATTTTAATAATATAAAAATTTATGTGAAAATAGTTCAATAAAGATTATTAGGACAAGAAATTAAGACAATTAGCCATAGATTAATAAAGCAATTTTAATAAGAATAATTAAATATGGTGTAAGCAATAAATAATGATTCAATTAGGATAATTATTAAATTACAAGAAAATTATATTAAATGTTTATTTATTTTGAATTTTATTTATTTTGAATTTTACTTAATGGTCGGGTTATTAAATTGATTTAACAAATACTATTGCTTTGTGATACTATATTTCTAGCTCATAATTTAACAAATATTTTATCTATTTCTTAAGAAGTTTAATTAAAATATAATTACTTCAATTCCTCTTTTATTAGTCATGGAGTACAAAATGGGTTGCTTGATCTTCTTGCTTTGTGCTCTTGAATCCTTTGGGTACCAGAAGTCTTCAGATGGATTTTGGGACCCTCTCAATAACAAAATACAATCTAAGCTATCTTCTAGAAAAGTTAACCTTACTTCCAAAGGTGGTATAATTATGCTTATTAATTTTATGCTTTCTTCTATACCTTTACATTGTTTATTTATTTATTCCATCTTGGTTTACCAAGAAAATTGATGGATCTAGAAACATTTTCCTAAAAAAGCAATGATGAAGGGGGTGGTCTTAAACTCATTAAGTGAAAGATTATCTATAGACATAAAGATAAAGATGGGCTTATCATTTAGAAATCAACTCTACGTAGCAATGAATCTATTGCTGGATCAATCATACAAAAAAAGTATTGTAGTAACCTTACTCCTATTCTAATCAGCTATTGTTCAACTTTGCTCTAAGCCTCTAGCTTCATTAAAGAAGAGATCTCTAAACGTTCGTCACCATTTATTTCTCCATATTTTTTGGAAAGGTCACGACATTAGAAACATTAATATTTGGGGAAAAAAAAAAGGATTACTCCACTTTGCTTGTCAACTCAATGATTTATCCCCCTTTACTAGATGTTATAACATTTCTATTGCTTCTCTTCATTCTTCCACTAGAGTTAGGCATGGTTTTTGAAAAGGTGTCATTCCTTCTCACCTCAGTGATAGGGAGAAAAAATTCCTATCTATTATCAATCAGTTTAAACTTGAATTTGATCAGGACATCCCAGGCTTCTCTCTCACTATGGTCTTTTCTTGGTTAGTTGCTAATATATATATTTTTTTCTAATGGGTGGTGTGTGTACTCAAGTTGGCTCTTCTATTTAGAATTCTATTATTCCTCTTAAAATTTCTTAAAATTGCAAATTATCCAGTTTCTCTTTATGATGATAATTTCTAGCAGGGTCTCCTTATCGAAGAAAGATATTCTTAATATTTAATAATGCTGCATGTGGCATGTGTTGAGATAAGATTGACAATGATTTCCATATTTTCTGGTGTAGCAATACCATCTCACATTTTTGGAGGAGGCGCTATAACATTTTTTACAAATGTACACATATAGAAAATTTGAACTATATTTTCTACATTGAGATGTGTTCATATCAGAAAAGAATTAAAAAAATATGTGGGTACCATCTTTTTTTGTCTTCCTATTTCTACCATCTAAATGGAAGGAATGCTAGTTGTTTTTCCAAAACAAAGCGGAAGAGAACACCCTTTCCCTTAATTTAATCAACCATAGATATTTATGGATTCACAACGCTAAGCGAGAATTCACCAATGATCAATCTTACTTTTATAAAGAAGCACAAGTCTTCAGATCCCTTCAATCTTCTCACCCTCTAATTGATTATGTTCTCATTTATGACAATTTTTTTCATTGTTCCTTTATTTTGGGTAATTTTTATTTTTTAAGGGGGGTTTATGTACATAACACACAAATATTATGCATTTACATATCCAACACCTTAACTTTGATAGTTACTTCTGTAACATTAGCATCATAATCACATCAAAACATTTGCATGAAATGATGTGTTCTACTTTAGAAAAATTAATATTAATTGTATTTTTTGATTTGGTGCAAAGGCTTTGGGTTTTATATAAAAAAATATTAGAATTTAGGTCTTAGATATGTAGATACATAAGAATTGGGTGGTAGAAAAAAAATCCCTCTTTTTTTAATTAAATGAGAAAGGGGTTGGCCTAACTCTACATAAAAATAAAATTATAATATTTGCAAATTTGATTAAAACATCATTAATCCAATTAACTAGGTCTCAATTTTAGAATACAGAATCGTCTTATTAATAAGACAAAAAAAAATGTCACTAGGTAACTAAAATATTAATTTAACTTGAATGTTGTGAACAAATTTAGTCCAAAATAATCATCGGAACCGAGTTCGTACAACAGAATTCATATAAAATAAGTAGATATCATTGAAGCTCACTTCCAAAAATCAACTTAAACTACTTCAAAACACTTGACATCAAAATATATTGACTTAAAAAAAATTAAAAAAAAAACACAGGAAAATGATACTCACCTCATCAGCCTGAGGAAGTATAGCAACTGATACTGCACTAGTATGGACACGCCCTGACTTCTCTGTTACAGGCACTCGCTACCAAAACATCAGAAAAAGAATTATTAAATTATAAATAATGCAATATTTTAGGATGATAATGAAAATAATGAGTAAATATCCAAAATAGTACCCCGACTATTAAGAAGTGTCTAATTTAGTCTCAAAGTTTTAGAATGCTTCAATTTCGTCGCAGACTATTAAAATGTGCTCCAAATCGATCTTAAATCATATTTTCCATAAATTTAATGGTGTTCTGCATGATTTGAAGGATATTTTCATTTTTAATTATTCAAAAATTATGTGGATTGTATAAAAATCTCTTTTGTTATTTGTTGTTGAAAAGTTATAATTTTTAATTCGCATTAATAAATCTTTTCACAAGTCATCACTTTGTTTCAAATGAAAATTTTTTAAATGATCGAGAATTATGCAATAAAAGCTCACTCAATCTGAAATTTTATGAATTACTCGATTTTAATTGAATTTGTCAATTTTAAAATTATTTATTAAAGAATGTGCTTTAAAATAGTTAAAATTAACTTGAAAATCTAATTAATAAATGTATTTTAAGTTTAAAATATTATGTATGTGCATGAAAAAATTACTTGATTGATAGAATTACCCTTGGTGAATTTAATTCGTGAATTTTGCAAATAGACGGAATTATCCTTCAAAACGAGAGGAACTGTTAAATTTAACGGAAAATATGATTTAGGACCAATTTGGAGCACTTTTAATAATTTTGAACTAAATTGATGCATTTTAGAACTTAGAGACTAAATTGGACATTTCTTAATAGTCAAGGGTTTAATTTAGGCTTTTACTCTGAAAATAATACATTCAGAAGCTCCTAAAAACACCTGAACCCTATGAATGCCACTCTCAAACTTGAGCTTCCCGTATACGCCACTTCCAGACACTGTTCCACTAGCTTCCTATAATAAAAAAACTAATTATAGTAAATAATAGGATACTCTATGAACCAACTCAAAAATATCAGGTTCTCATGGAACCTAAATGCAAAGTTAAAAACAACGATTTTGAATTCTTTTACTGAAACTGAATAGAAAGGTTTAGAGCGAATTTGGGAGCAGATATGGGAGAAGATAGATACCTTGTAACCTTTCAAATCAGACTCCATTATGTCAATAACTTCAAATCTCCATCCCTTTTTCTGGGAGTATTTCTCATACCTGTACCAAAACAGACCCAAGCTGCATAAACTAAAAAACTCACTCCATGCACATTAAAAGAATGGAAGATTTATATACACACCACTCTAATCCTATGTATTTACATATCTAACACCTAAACTTCAATTTTTACAAACAACGTCCTTACCTATGCATGAAAAGGGGTATTTCACTTTTTAAAAGTCAAAATGGTGACATTTTTTATGTGATATGAAAGATTTGGGTGATAAAAATATAAAAAGTAAAGTTTGGGCCTTAGAGACATAGGAATTAGGAGGTTTGTATGTAAATGCTCCTAAAAGAATAAAGGAAAAAGAGTTTAAAACATACATCTTGAATATATCCATTGCAAATAAAGATGCCTCTTCTCCTCCAGTCCCTATAAGAAAACATTAAAGGTTATAAATTTGGAAGATTCTTTCAAGTAAGAAGCTAATCTTCCATCTAGAGATCAAAATGTATACAATTAAAAAAGGAAAATTTACACACATACCACTTAATATTAGTGTATTTACACATCTAACACCTAAATTTCACTTTTAATGCCAACTTACCAGTATATGAGAAGATGTCTTTCACTTTTTTAAAGTTAAAATAGTGATAATTCCATCTGATATAAAAAATGTGGGTGGTATAAATATGAAGGGTAGAGTTTAGGTGTTAGATATGTAAATACAGAGGAATTATGTAATATGCACGTAAATGTCCCCTTAAAAAACACAATATATTACCTGCTCTCACCTCAAGAATACAATCCCTTTCATCAGCATCATCCTTTGGGAGCAAAGATTTAAGCAATAAATGCAACAACCTTTCCTCTTCCTCAACAGCTTCAGCTAATTCCTCAGATGCTATGTCACACATATCTTTATCTTCGGAACAGTCAGACATTAATGACTTCAGGCTTTCAATCTCCTATAAATTAGAATGTTAGGTCTTCCCCATTAAAGAGCTTTTGTATGGTACAACTGAACTCCTAAGGATTCAAATTCACTTTATTTATTTAGTTGTTAGAATTTCTTGAACAAAAATGTGCAAAGAAATTATAGGACACTTACATCAATGGCCATTGAAACAAACAACAAATTGCTTTCAGCTATCTAAAGAGAAATCTAACATAGAAAAGGAAGATGAAAAAAACCAATAATTAGAAGTGCAGATCGTTATTAATTTGGTCTCAGTGAGAAACATTTCATGAAATAAACATAAGGTACGAAAAGATGGCCAGGAAAACAGCGTGTAAAGTGTATGTACAGCTTCCATTGTGCGCCAAGGTGTTTTAGATGGACTCAGATGAAGCAATCTTATTTTATCTTTATAATCATTAAAATTAATGTTTACATTTAAAGATGCTTTTAACTGCATAACCCCCTTTTTATTAAATTGGTAGTTGTAAAACTAACCTTGACAACCATATCACAATGGCCATATCAATATGAAGAAATGAAGAAAGAGCAGGATGAGCATATTTATACAAAAAGTTTAAAGTTTAACAAATATACTATAGTTCACAAAGATGCAAAATTTAATGTTTAAATTGCAAAAAATTCAAATCAAAGTTTAAAAAGGCGAAATCGGCAATTGAGGTGCCTTGCCTTAGCGAGGCGAGGTGCAAACCTCAAGAAAGAAATAAAAAAATTAATAAATTTAAAAAATTAATCAATATGACAAACTATTGATAAGTTGACTTGGTTTATTATCACTAAGATATAAATCATAAATATTAATATTAAATATTTATTTAAAATAGAAGTTTAAAATATAAATCTAAATAATCAATCACTTAAAATTTAATATTTCATGGGATTCAAGTTCCATAATGGCATCTTTAATGCTTTCATCATCTTCAAATTAATCATCTTATGTATTATCATCTAATTATATCTCATTTGTAACATTAAAATACTTTTCATTCACTATAATTTTCTTCGTAATATCAATTAATTTGAAATCTAATATAATTTATAATAAAAGAATAAACTAATAAAATAACCAAATAATCATACTTAAATCATTTTTTTATATTTTTGAGGTGTTATATCAAAATATATCTAAAATTTTATAATATAATATAACATAACATAATATAATATAATATATCTTTTTTTGTATAACTTCATTAAGGCCTTGCCTCAAACGCCACGAGACATAAATCCTCAAGATGTAAGTCCTATTCGAAAAAGGCGTAAGCCTCACCGATGATATTGAGGCTTAAGCTTCGAATATTTTTCTGTGTGTCTCGGTTGGAGACACGCCTCGAGGCATAAGCCTCAAACTCCTTTTTAAATAATGCTTCAAAGAGTGATAAACCATTCCAAAATGATACATGTAAACAAATTGAACATACCTTCCTTTTGGCCCTCACTTCCTTAATTAGTTCCAAAGAGCTCCCAAGTTTCCGGAGCTCCTTGTTGGCTCTTGAATACTCAATTGATGTGGCTGTTGGCTGTATTCACGATATCAGAATTGAAATATGGCAGTATAAGCAGGCTGTTAATTTATTTATCATTTAACACCATTACATCATAGCAAATACATAATGACTGTTAAATGGATGGAGATGAAAACTGAAATTTTATTTTGACCAATAAATCCATATTAGATATATCAAAGCACATCATTGTGGGAGCATGACCACACAATGCAAAAGTATAAGCTATATCTTAATTTAAATGTTATACTATAATACTTCTTAGATAAAAATGGTAAATAAGAAATTTTACATGTAAATTAATATATGCGGGCATTTTAAGGGCATATCGGTAAAAGCATAGAAAAAGGTAATGAAATAAGCACTACTTGTGCATTGGAAAACATGGTACTAATGTAGTAAACATGTCTACCTGAAAATCATGAAGACCAATACTGTTGGTTACCTGGTTAATTTGATCATTAAGAAAAGCACTTCTCAGCTCTATCGCCATCATGCTTTGTTCCATTATCTTAAGGATATCTGGCGAAAGGTGGACAGTGGTTTCTACAAAATTTAAAAAAAAAAAACAATGATCATGAAGATCTTAAAGAAATATTACTTTCATCAAGATACATACTTTTCAATTAGATTTTTTTTTTTTTTTAATCATTGTAAACTATGACATGATATGGTTTAGGGTAGCATTCTGGTGCCAAATACTACAAACATTTAAATTTACAAAATTACTACTAGAAATATATAAAAAAGATGGCATTCAGGTATCAAATACTGCATTTTCAGCATCATATTAGCAGGAACCAACTCGAGTAATGTATAAAGTTGTTTTAAGCATAAAATATATCATATTATATAAGAAAAGGCCTATCATTGAAAATACATGATAAAATGAGTTGATGACTAATTTCTGACGTCAGTCACAAGATGGTTAGGGCAGCAGGTTAAGTAGATTGGATTGAAAGTTGTCAATGGGATATGAATAGCATCGATATAAACAATATTCAATTTGCAAATGATACCCCTATATTCTGTCAAAATTCTAGAACGTACGTTTCAGCACTAGAAATTATTTTGCTTCTTTTTAAAAGTTTTATGGTCTAAAAATTTACTTCTTTAAACCTATTGTTCATTTACCTTGGTGGTTGCAAAGAAAAAGGTTTATTAATTGCCAAAGCTTTGGGCTGCTCTCTAGAATCACTTCCTTCTAAAAATTTGGCCTTTCTCTTAGTTCAAAAGCTATATTGAAAGAAATTGGAAATCAAATCATTGAAAAAAAAATTGAAGGCTTCAAAGAAAGGCAATTTTTTCTTGGAAGGTGGCTGAATTGTTCTTATCAAAATAATTTTCTCATTCATTCCTCCTTTATTCGACCATTAATAAAATTGATAGCATTAGTTGAAAATTTTTGTGGAAAAAGAATAACTGAAATAAGGGACGAAATTTGGTTAAATGGAAGACAATTGTAGATGTTGAAGTCTGAAATAGACCCGCTCACCTTTATTGATAGAAGGGGTATTTAAACCCAATTACAATAGGCACAATAAATGAAAGAAATAAAAACAGAATAAAATAAATAGGAAAGACATAATATAGAAAAAAATAAAAAAGAAAACACAAAATGAGGGAATTAAAGCTAATAGGCAAGAAATAATAAGTAATAACAGCTAGGGATTTAATTATCGTATAAATCTAATACTCCCCCTCAAGTTCAAGCATAGATGTTGATCATGTTCAACTTGGATTTGAAGTCATTGAACAAAAGACAAGGAAAATTTTTGGTAAGGATATCCGCAAATTTACCACTGAATGGTACAAAAGGCACACAAATTTCTCCAAACTCAATTTTTTCCTTAATGAAGTGTCTGTCAATCTCCACATGATTGGTACAATCATGCTGGACTGGATTGTGAGCAATGTTGATTGTGGTATTATTATTTATTATCACAAAATAGTTGCAGCAGAGCGGATGTTAGCATATGAAGTTCATATAGCATAATGTGTAACCAGAGGGCTCCACAGAACCCCAAGGTCATGGAGCGGAATTCAGCTCAGCACTGTTCTGAGCAACCATAGACTATTTTTTTTTGCTTTTCGTGACCAGATTTCCCCATACAAATGAGTAATACCTCTAGATGGAATATCGATAATGAACTGATCCGACTCAATCAGCATTTGTATAAACAGCAATAGACCAAAAGGTGGAACGAGAGAAAAGTAAACCTGAACCCGATGTAGGTGGACAGCTTGGAGATGTGCTCATAGGAACATGCATGAATTAACTCGCTATACCAACTGTGTGGCATATGTTAGGGCGAGTATGAACAAGGTAGATGAGTTTCCCAACAAGAAGCTGGTAGTGACTTTTATTGACAGACACAACATTGGGAATGTCAGATAATTTTCATTGGGATTCATACGGATAGATTGGTTTGTATAGAAGAAGATTGTTCTCTTTCAAGAAGTCAATCACATATTTGCGTTGAGATAAACAAATGTCCCAAGATAATCGAGTCACTTCAATGCCTAGGAAATACCAGAGAGATCTCAAATCTTTCATTTCAAAGGATTTAGCAAGAATTTCTTTTAAGGACTCGATGTTGAGAGATCATTACCTGTAAGAACAATAATGTTAACGTAGACAACAAGGATAGCTACCTGGTCATTGGAGTAATGTCGGAAGAAGAGAGTGTGATCCGATTAGGGGTGTCCACTATTTGGATAAATCCAAAAAATCGATCCGAACCGAAATGGTTTATTGATTTGGTTCGATATTTGTTTTAAAATTTGTATACTTTGGTTTATCGATTACGGTTCGATTTTATTTTAAAAAAAAAATTAGTCGAAAATCGATTTTTATAGGGCGGAAGTGTGGTTCGGCGGAAACTAAATGTATCACAAATGTTTTTTTCTTAGGGCTAGTTAGAGTTCATTTCAAATCCTTGCCTCGTTCTGTCGCGCAGACTGTGTCACTCACCTCGCTCTGCCCTCGTGCTCTATCGTTGGTTGCTCGACTCGTCTCGGTCCTCTAGGTCTTAGTCCTCTTGGATAACTCAGTTCTCACCTATCTGTATTTCCAAGCTTCTGCTTTCCCCTTCTAGTTGTTGCCCTAATTTTATTTATTCTATCTTCTCCTATAACTCTATCTTCTACAATGAAGGTATGCACTTCTTAATCCTAACTGAGCATTAGGTTGAACTATTGAAGAAATTTAAAGGTTTATTTTGATATACTCCATGGTTTGATGGTGGATTTGCATTACTATTCAATCGTATTGTTTCATTTTATAAGATCAACGCAAAAGGATTTTCGTTCCATTTGAATGATGTGCTTCTATGAGAAGCTTTTATTGGTTTTTATCTGATTGATGTAAAGCGATTTTTGTTCCATTTGAATGATATGCTTCTATGAGAAGTTTCTATTGATTTTCTTATGTGATAGATACATGTTTCTTTGGTTTTATGTGAAAAGTATGCTCACAATAGAGGTTTACTGGTCTTCTGAGCTTTGGCTTTTGCAAACTATAGCCGTTGCTTATCTTGGTATTCACTTTGAGACTCTCTCTGATCCATTAGTCTGAATTTTGAGGTGGTTGCACCCTCAGTTGGGTTGGATTAAATCTAATACGGATGGTTCCTTTGGTTCTAATTCAAGTGGCTTTAGTGGTTCACTTAGAGATCACTTTGGTAAGGTTGTTGGCCCATTGAAGTGTATATCTGATATTCTTTTTTTTTATCATTTGAGATGGAGATTGGCTTTATCTCACTTGTTGGTTCATGGTTGATAGATTTGTAGATTGTGAATGTGGGTTGGTTAGCGTATTGGTCTTCTAAGCTCTGGCTATTGTTTGGGGTATTTCGGCCATTGTTTAATGTTGCCATATTATACTCTGGATTTTTTTGTGCTTCCTATCTTTTTTGATGGCTCTTGTTTAGTTGAATAGTGACTACTAATATTAATGAACCTATAGTTCATTCAAGTGGCTTTGGTGGTTTACTTAGAGATCACTTTGGTAAGGTTGTTGGCCCATTGAAGTGTATATCTGCTATTCTTTTTTTTTTATCATTTGAGATGGAGATTGACATTATCTCTCTCGTTGGTTCATGGTTGTTATATTTGTAGTTTGTGAATGTGGGTTGGTTAGCGTATTGGTCTTCTAAGCTTTGGCTATTGTTGGGGGTATTTCGGCCATTGTTTAATGTTGTCATATTATACTCTGGATTTTTTAGTGCTTCCTATCTTTTCTGATGGCTCTTTTTTAGCTAAATAGTGACTACTAATAATAATGAACCTATAGTTCATTTTGATGAGACAACAAGGTACTGGTTGGCTATTGTTTGGTTAATGAACGTATAGTTCATTCTTGAAGGTTTGATATAGGATAATTTTTAGAAGCATGTCCACAGTATGCATTATGAGTAAATTACTTGATTTGGTAGATTCTTTGGTGATAAAGCATAATTTTAGCACAACCAATTATTTAATCAATGCATTAAGAAGTTCCCTGTGTTGCTGGCTGTTGGGACCTATACAGCAATGCCGATACATTTGAATCTATAAGGTTTCTACTTTCTAGAGTAGTGCATCATGTTATGTCCTATTTACAAAATTCTGTTTTTCTGGGTGGTTTTGATAGCCTTATTTTCTTACTTGGATAAAATTAATGTTGTTGGTTTTCTGCTACTGGAATATTTTGTAACTTTTGTTCCTCTGTTAGTTGGCAATGATTTTTGGGCTGCTTACAGACATCGGGGTTTGGATTTCGAACTCAACCGCATATTGATTTTCGTGTCCTGAATGAAAATTTTGATCTAATTCCTCCTCTTGGCATTTTGGAGAGAAATTATGAGATATATAGCAATATCAATGTACTCAACCAGCATACCTACACGAACAATGCTCGGATATCTTTGTTTGGACAAATGACTTGGTCTTATGCCTTTGACTTGTTGGTGCTCTATTTATTTCAAAATTTGGTATTGCTTAAATGGAGCATTTCATTGAGGCTGTTGTATAGCCTGAGCTCTCTCTATCCCCCTGCATTGATCATCTTTTTAGCTTTTGCTTTTCTTTGACCTTTGATGTATTTCTTCTCTTTTCATTGAGGCCGCTATATAGCAAAAATAAACAATAATAAACAATGATTGTAAATTGGTGCCTCTAAAGACCAAGTTGGATTTGATGTTGATGAAGCTCAACTAGAAGGCATCAAGGCAAGCAAACAAGTTAAAGAGAAAGCTCTTGACAATTCTCAAAGAGCATTAGTTATAGAATAAAACAAATGTTAGAATGCTTAAAATTATGTGTCGTTTTTTCGTATTATAAAGAATTTGATTTTTCTAAGCTATTTATTGCATTTTTTTAAGCTTGTTCAAAGTTGTACTGTACCTCTTTTTCTTTGGGTTATAAATTATGTTTGTAATCAAATTATTTTTATCATTTGAATATCACTTGTTGGAATTAGGTCATTGCTTTTTTATGTGTTTTTTTTTATTTTTTTTACATGTCAAATACATATATTTTGGTTAATCAAAAATCAAACCATTCAA